GACTGAAACTTGGGGAAGAAAGACTGGTTGGGAAGAAACTTTCCAACTCGAGGAGGTGCTTATCTGCTGGTGCACTTACTTCAAATTAACTTAAGAAAACCACTATGCTACCAAACTGAAGGTTTTCAACATTCACTTGATTTAAAGTGAGACCTTCAATTAAGTTTCTAATTTATTTTAACAACAGAATAATTTTATTAACCCCAAGGACAATCTTCGCAGAGCTATATTAAATTTAGAGTAGTTAAAGGCAGAGCTATTCTTAGTTGTAGTTTATCCTTCCCTTACTGAACAACCCCTTTTCCCTGCATGTGATGGAACCCCCAGGGTTTTAATGCATTTTATTTAAACACTGCTGATTTGGGACTTTTAAATTTCTTATTGTTTTGGTGATACGATATGTAATTACTCAGAGTGGCCATATTTATGGAAGTTTGATTTTTGAAAATTTTCAAGTTTTAATTTTTCTTCACTCACATACTCGAGTTTTACTTTCAGCTAGCCTTGGACATCAGGCCATAATTCTGTTTTATCATTTCTACACATGGTAAAAAAGAGATGGCTGCTGGTAGTAAAGAAGTCTCTACATGCAGTGCTTCTCGTATTATACTGAAGCACACTCTAGAGTTTGCAAGGGACTTGATATGGCTGGTTTTAAAGAAAGTCACTTCTAAATTCTTATATTTTGATTTCACATAATTCAATTTCTAGATTATTCTTAAGTTAGGCTTCAGTAGATGTGCATGATAGTAATGTATGTTTTTCTTTTTTTTAATTGAGGTATATTTAGCATAAACATTTTAGTAGTTACAGGTGTACAACATGATGATTCAGTATTTGTATACATTGTGAAATGATCACAATAAGTGTAGTTACCATCCATCACCATACAGTTATAAACATTTCTTGGGATGAGTACATTTGTAATGAATTGTATGTTCACAATGTTCACATTGTGTGTTCACAATGGGCTTCTCTCACTTTGCCAAAATAAAAAAGGAATCTCCAATCTTCCTTATGATGAATTGCCCAGACACCAGATAAGAGGAAGTTCTTACCCTCTACCAAACCACTTCCCCCCACACACCATGAACCTTTGCTTTAGAATTGTGTAGGGTGTTGTATATTCAGATACCTGGCAAATTTGGATGAAGTGTAGGATAGTCATGACAACTTTCCTTTCAGGACTGTGCCTTTTTCGTCCCCTAATTTCAAAAGGACTTGTCCTTTCAAAAAGAGAGTCCTGTATGGCAAAGCAAAAGAGCTTTCCCTTTGTTAAGAAATTGTAAATTTATGTTATTATATGCCTGTAACAAGTAACCAAAATAAGTTTTAGATTTTCAAGACACAGTGAGAGGTTAAGCATCTTACAGAAAGTCACATAGTCACTCAGTAGCCTAGCCCAGTTAGTGATTCAGCCAGGACTTAAACACAGGTGTTTGGATCATCAGTCAGTGTTCTTCACTCCTATGTTGTCATTTGTTCAAATCATACCTTCAAAGACTTGTTAAAATTATAACCAATCTTTTTTTCATTTTGTACAGTGTCTATATTAATTTTCTACCATCTGCTAACAAATATGTATACTAACTACAAGGCTTATTTTCTAAGCATTATGTCTTTCTGTATTAAATACAGAGTAGAGGTTGATTTTTTTTTTTTCATCAAACTTTTTAATAGGTCTCAAAATTCTGTGACAGATTGTTGGTCAAGTTGTTTCCATCACAAAGTAATATTTTAAAAACTGATAACTTAAAACTGCCACACACACACACACAACGTTCCATAAAACATATCCCTTTCCTTCTAAAAATCTTATGATGCAATACTCATCTACTTTTAAAGTCATTTTTATTACTGTTAAACTTTAATGGCCAATTGAAACAAACAGTTCTGAGAAAGTACTTCTAATAATGAATAGGAAAGGGGTGACAGTTAAAAAATTTCAAACTAAATTAGTGGATTTATTTCTGAGTTTTTATACTTGATTTCTTTTTTACTTTTACTAAAAGTTTACTATCAGGTATAGAATATACCCAATAAAGGAACATACCTCACTTCATAAGTAATTTCTACTTTTAGATACACATTATAATGCAGTATGATAGAATTGAATAATAGCATATTGATTTACTATTTTCTTTCTGTAACTTAAGAAATTATAGAGCTCATTTGAATTTTAAAATTAAATTAAACTTTTTCTGAAGTAAATCTGCTTTGACTGGTCTGCCAGTTAAGCTATAGTAGATAATGTTGAATAAACTGAAATTATCAAAATCTCAAGCTAATTTCTATAGTTAAGGAAATTGAATTAGACCAATTTCCTTAACAACTGATAGATCATTTTAAAATAGGGTATTTTTTGCTTTTTATATATTTTATATCATTGTTCATTTTTGTTCAGTGTTTGCTTTCTTTTCTCAGGTGTAGTCCTCATAGAATTTCCACAAGTCTGTTAATTTTTGTTGTGTTTGTACTGTTATTATTTTTCCCTGATCCCTTATTTGGTTCCCCCATATTCCTCCTAAAGTGAAACCATCCTAATATTTTTCTTTTTCCTTCTTATTTCACTGAGCATAATCCCTTCTAGCAGCATCCATGTTGCTGCAAATGGCATTAGTTTGTCTTTTTGATTGCTGAATAGTATTCCATTGTGTATATATA